TCTCTGCGTCTCGTAACGGCGCACACGCTCGTTTTTTCCGCGACGCGCTAGCTCCACCAGGGGCGAAACGGCGAGGGGGGGTCGTACCCGCCCCCCCCCCCTCGGCCGGCGCGTATGTAGAAAACCAATAGGTCCGGCGAGGGTTAAGGTCAGGTCACCAGGTCACTTTGAATGACCCAGCCTCAAGTCACTTTTTTGCAACTTTGTCACCGTGCCAGAGCTACAGTAGATGTCGGAGGCCTTTGAAAGTCGCAGGATATTATTAGGTCATTAGTAGCTACAATTTGTATATCTCGGAATTTTGATATCGGTGACCTAAGGACAGGTCAATTTCGCGACCTCCCCATTATAAGTCAATGGGGGAAAAATCAGCTCCCTGTTTTTACCACTAAAACGGGTCGGAATGGCCCCATATACCATACATGACTTCATATACGATCAACCTTCACTACCTTGAGGTCTGTTTTGCTGTTGGGCAGCTGTGAGGTCATGTGACGTCATCAAAGGTCACCAAAGGTTTTTGGCCAATAACTCCGTACAGGAACAAGATACAGACGCGTGGATGCTCGTCAAGACGCATCGATTGATATACATGATGACCTCGAGGTCACGTGACCTGAGGTCAACCTTTGACCTTGACCTTTCGAGGTCAACATATATATCATTCGATGCGGATTGACGAGAGGATCACGATGATGCCCTTAGTTTGTTCCTATCTTGACTAATTCGAAAGTTATTCGAGAAAAACTCTCTCCATATCTAGCGCCGCCATTTTGACTTTTTTGACCCCTGTGACGTCATCTTTGACCTGACCTGAAAATGACCTTAGTAAAAATTGTAGATCTTGGCCGTGCGTATCCGATGCCGTTTACCGCTTGCCGCTATCTTGCTTCGTTCTCGAGATCTCAGGGGGGGGGGGCGGTCATCCGCCCCCCGTCGGTGCGAAGTTGGCGCAGACCCCCGTCGGTGCGCGGGTTAAACGTTTTTTGTATCTTCAAAGCCATAGGCCTGACAGCTCTTCCCGCGAAACCTTTTTTTGTCGAAAACTGCAGAACATGACGTCACTCTGACGCCATTTGCGGCCAGTCGATCATAGCTTTTGTACCTATAATTTTTGGTCACTATGTGTAAAATTGATGCCCGGGAGGGTACTGCAAGTTTGGTGACGATCAGCGCAGCGGTTCTGGAGATATATCGAAAAGTCTGGAGGGGGGGGGCAACAATAGTCCCCCCCCCCCACCAGGGCGCCGGTTAATTGAATCTCACTCAACCCGTGTGGTGCGGCACAGCCAACCACTTCAGGCACTTGATTGCCTGTGAAAAGTGGAACATTGTTCTGTAGTCAACTGTATAAGTTTTTTTTGTTACATAACTATGGCCATTATCATTGTTCTCTTTGTGCATATATTTATTCAAAGGGAATCTATATTTTGCGAAATATAAATTATAAACAACTGCGCAAACGGTAAATGAAAAGTTATGCGTAAGTAAAAACAATAGAAATATCAGCAAACCAGGCTTCCCTTCAAGATTTAGCCATTTATAAGTATAGGTACGTACGACGTTCACTTACCTACTCATGTCTTCAACGTTTTGTTTGTAAGCGTGTATAACTAAAGGAATTTAATTTCAAACGTTTTTTATTGACTTTGTTTCGATTATGCGTAAATATATCGCTTAAATGCACGCAGTGCCATTAGGTAACGTACTTCATGAAAACAATTTAAATTATTATCACGACACGTCCCTACTTTGCGTCGTGACGATGACCATGTATGTAGTAGACATTGCGTCACATAAGCTACGGAGACAATTTATAGATACAGTAACCCATTTTATATCAATAACTTAAAAAGACATGAATAGTTGAAGGTTGAAGTAATCGGGGGGGGGGGGGGGGCGCCCGGAGTACAGTGGTCATCGGCGAGTAGGTAGTTATCATTATACTGATTCTATTAGATGTCTATTATTTGTTTATGTGCTTTTCAACGATACATAGAATAATTCAAACCACACAGAAGCGCATAACCAAAGGTTAGAAATACAAATGTGCCAACTGTAAAACTTGTTTTGTATGGCTATTGGCTGCAGGACAGCGCAGCGGCTGTGAATGACAGGCGGCCGGTAAACAGTTCAATGGCGAGCGGTCGATACATTTCGCTCGGCCCACCGTGATCGGTAGGCTATGCGTACGAAGTGTCTGCTGAATCAGTCAGTTATGAGCTATACAAAAGTGTCCTGGGTCATGGGTGTTATTTGCTATGGCATAGGCATATATGCATACCGAGCGGCGTGGAAGCCAGGCGGTGCAATGAAGACCAAGTGAGACCGGGTGGCGGGGAGCGCTGAGTGGAGCACTTTAAACGCAGAAACACGACATCCCGGTTTTAGCCGGCCGGTTTGGATTTTCCACCTGTCGCTGAGCCCCCACCCCACGGCGCGTAAGGTTTCCGAGGCGTATATCACGGTACTGACTGACCTTGGACGGGTCAAAGGACCTGAATACCGGCATGGTGTTCCCGACACCCCAGTGCCCCCCCCCCCCCTCCCACACACACACAGCGGGATGAATGCGATGGAGTGCCCTCCGTGCTGCGCCGGGCCAGCTCCACCCAAATCGGATCCCACCGCGCCCAGCAGATCGGGATTTGGGCTGGACTCTGACACCATCAGTCTGTTGGTCTGTAGGTCCCGACATGGTGTTACTTAGCGCGGGGTACAGGCCAGACTGTTGCACCTAGCGTGCTGAAATTTGCACATTTTATAAATCAGGGATACGCAGGGTGCCTTTGAAGGGTCTCAGCTCGATCAGGTTGACAGTAAGCGCGTGGCGCGTACCCAAAAAGTGCAAATTCGCGTCATAGACTTACATGTATATCGGCATGCGAAATCGGGTGAAAATGGCTAAATTTGGCCGACACGGGTCCGGTCCCTGTGCTATTCTCGTTAACCGTGCGCCCGATCGGCACGGGGAAAGCATCGCCTTGAAGAGAATTGAAGGGGCTATCGAATGGTGTGCGATGCAAAGGATAGCATGGGCAACGTGCACCCGTAATGGCACTTTCATCGGAAAAATTGACGTTTTGGACAGATTTCGTAACTTATGCTGTTTTTAGGCCGCCCCACACTGAACCTCGCATGCGAGTTGCGAGTTTTTAGGTTTCTTCAAAATCTTATAATACAATACAATCTAAGCTGAGTGACCCACGCTACCAACTAACAAGCGAGTCTGCCCATGTTTTAGCTTGCGAGCCACCTTGCATCGTATTCCAAAAGTTATCAGTCAACTTTCGATTTTCCTCGCTGCGAGGTCTGCGATTTCTGCGAGGTTTGCGGGTGTTTCGTTGGAGTCGAATTTGGTTCGTTGCGCTGCTATTGCGACTATATGTAACTTTCTGAAGGTGTAGGGGAAAGTGGGGTAAGACGGTCAGGGTAGGTAAGACGGGCACCCCTTCTGCAGACCAAACCAATAGCGCTACGAGCGAGAAAAATTAGGACCAGAATTGTCTTTCCCACTACACACCACCATTGAAGTTTGGTGATTTTGTGTTCAGTCGATAATCTTTTATTTTGATTTCTTTAAAACACTAATTTCATTGAAAACATCCATAATGTATTGTGCAAGTTTTTGTGTGCAGCACTATACAGCTAAAAACTCGCAATCACTTGTGGTACACTCATATGCCACCAGTGTTCATTTACCGCGGATTTGCTTTGTCTGCATCAAATTGTCCACAGAGAAAAATTGTGCTGAACTTCTTACATTGAGTTAGGGGTAAGACGGGCAACTATGAATCCAATGGGTCTGTAATGGTGAAAATATTTTTGTTGCTGTAGGAAAAAAAGAAGCATTTCTTATAAGAATATCTTCGATTCCGATACTCACAGACATGTTAGCAATATTCCTTCGGCACAGTTTATTCTCGAATGATGAATGTGAAAAACGGTTCTACATGACTTCTGATCTAGGGCCTATATACGAGCATACGCCTTCTGCACAAATCTTGTATACTGCCATTTCCGAGGCACTTGAGACCAACGAGCGACTGTATCAATGCAGCTAATTTCGGGCATTTGTTGCGAGCTGTACTGGTCGGTGAAAGAAGCTGGCCGTCTTGCCCTACCCATGTGACCGTCTTACCCCATGGGGTGGGGTAAGACGGGTTTTTGCAAGGTTTTGCAAAAATAGCTGCAGTTTATTTGTTGAATCAGGTCTAAGTCTCATCTTCTGGCAAATGGAAGTAAAATGTCTAAAAGAGGTTTTCACTCAGTTTCCCGTTTCTATGATGTTTCTAACCGGCCGAAAAATGGCTCCAAAGTTAAGGTGTCCGTCTTACCCCACTTTCCCCTACCGGCTTCACTGTATTCATGAAGTTACCATATGGGTTATACTGTCTAATCACTTTATGAATTAGTATTATGCCCGCAAACTCAAAACCCGCAAACTCGCAACCCGCATGCAAGGTCCAGTGTCAGTGGCGGCAGAACACCTTCAATTAAGGGGGGGGGGCACTGTCTACTTTTGGTCCCATTCTTTCCATGCAACGCCCATAGGGCTAATCCTAATGTTAAAATGCCAAAATCAAAGGGGGGCACGGTGCCCCGATGCCCCCCGCGTTCCGCTGCTTATGAATGGGGGCACGGAGGACAAGCCACTAGATCCCCTTGTCGTTTGTTTGGGTTCCTGCACTGCTCTCGCCTTTACCCGCCCCTTCACTTACCTAGATATTGCACAGGTGTCGGGTAACAGCGGCGATCCCCACCAACACACCCACTGCCTCCCGCGTGACTCAACAGTCCCCACTGAGCACAGTCACAGCTGAGACTGACAGGCGGCAAGCATTGCATGCAACTTCAAGGTCGCCACCCCTCCCCATGAACACCTTCTTGCATGTCAGCAAATTTCAGCCATTTCTTATATGTGTTTAAAAACTTTTTTTTTGCTGTATTTACTTCTAAAAATATTGCTTTCATTACTTAGACGTCAAAAGATTGCTCACCTTGCGAGTTAACTACGCCGACTACCGCCAGGATCGCCACTGTAGCGCTGAGTCCCCTCATGTCTGCAGTCGCGCTGCGCCGCCGCTGACCGCCCGTCCCCCGTTCGACCGCCCCGACCACTGCGCGGGCCGGCCCGGCGCCGCCGGCGGCGGACACTGCACGGCACACGGCGCAGTCGGCCTGACGTCACCGCTCGCCCTCATACGGACGCCGGAAACGACCAATCAGCGTCCGCCCCGTGCGCTGCAGGTGAGAGACGGCAAACACTGCCGGTCCTGACCGGAGGGGGGGGGGACCCGACAAACACGGCTGGGTGGGGTGGGCGGACACACACACACACACACACACACACACACACACACACACACACACACACACACACACACACACACACACACACACACACACACACACACACACACACACACACACACACACACACACACACACACACACACACACACACACACACACACACACACACACACACACACACACACACACACACACACACACACACACACACACACACACACACACACACACACACACACACACACACACACACACACACACACACACACACACACACACACACACACACACACACACACACACACACACACACACACACACACACACACACACACACACACACACACACACACACACACACACACACACACACACACACACACACACACACACACACACACACACACACACACACACACACACACACACACACACACACACACACACACACACACACACACACACACACACACACACACACACACACACACACACACACACACACACACACACACACACACACACACACACACACACACACACACACACACACACACACACACACACACACACACACACACACACACACACACACACACACACACACACACACACACACACACACACACACACACACACACACACACACACACACACACACACACACACACACACACACACACATTTTCGCGCCTTTATGTTTTGCTTGGGAGAGATAGTTCTTTGGGACAAAGGCCATAGGACAAAGTTTTTATTGTTGACAAGAGCACGACAGAATGCTCATGGACCGTTACAACAATAGGTCGCAAGAAAGACCTAAAGTTTTATCATTCCAATTTCCGACATAACAATAGGCATAAGCACATCAAATCATATTCATTGCTACACTTATCAACACATAAAACGTAAACCAAGTTTACATTACATATAGCATTCACTCTAAGTCTCAAATGGACATTTCCCCTATGCGGTACTCATTCAGTCCGTCCCATCCTGATCCCTGATCGTCCACAGCAGCGCGGCGACGTCTGCGCGCGGCCGTTTGACTCCCTCGAGCAGCACGGCCAGCCGCTGAAAGTCGACCTGTTCGAGCCGCTCGCGGCCGGCGCCGCCCGTCTCGGCGGCGGCCGGGCTCAGCTCGGCGGCGAACAGCCGCTCGCAGAGCGCCGCCAGCCCGGAGAGCTGCGGCCGGCTGAGCAGCGGCGGCAGCGGCTCGGCCAGCAGCCGCAGCAGCTGCTGCCGGTGGCGCCGCTCCAGCCGGCCACCGGCGGCCGCCTCCAGCGCCTCCCAGACGGCCTCCGCCGGCACCCCGGCGCCGCGCCGGTGGGCGTCGAACGCGGCCGCGTACACAAACTCTCTGGGGCGCGAGAGCACCGTGTAGTCGGCCAGGTACTGCAGGGGCGACAGCGTCTCCAGCAGGCTGAGGTCGGGCGGCAGCTCGAACCGGCAGCTGCCGGTGGCGAAGCTGCGCGGCAGCCGCAGCCAGAAGAGGCGCGGCTCGTCCGGAGCGCCGTACTCGGCCATGGCCCGCTCCAGCTGCTGGTTGAAGCGCTTCTCGGTGGTGGCCCGCGCGCGTCCCCGGCTCTCAGAAAAGCTGCTCTGGAGTGCATCCATCATTGTGGAAAACGCCTCCATCTTTTGCAGGCGTGGGTCCACTTTGTTTCTCCTTTTGCCCTTTCCTTTTCTTTTCCCCTTCTTCCCCCGTTTTCCTTTCTTTCCCTTCTTAGCTTTGGGCTGGTCACTGGTGGGTGACATTGTGGGCATGTCCGGCACGGCGATGCAGAGCCGGTCGGGGACGGGCAGGCAGCGGTGGCCGGGCCGCCGACCCATCAGCGTCTCCGTGTCATCCTCCGAGGGCGCCCGCCGCGGGCTGAGCGAGCGCCGCCGCCGCCGGCGCCGGCGCGGCAGCACCGAGGCGCCCGAGCGCCGCGTCGACCCCGACGATGTGGAGCGGGACCGGAGCGGCAGCGGCCGCAGGGAGCTCACTGTGAGCAGGGCGGCGCCGCGAGCGGGGAGCCGCCGCCCGGCGCCGCCCTGCGCCGCCGGCCGCATCAGGCCGCGGGACCGGCCGGTGCCACTTCCGGCCGGCTGCGGCAGCGAGAGCAGCTCCTCCAGGTCACCGCGCAGGTCGAGCACGACCACGGCGCGCTGGCCGGCGGCCGGACCGCCCGGTCGGCGCAGCCGCGGCGCCAGCTGACGGGTCTCCAGCAGCGAGATCTCGGAGGCGGCGTACCGGCGCAGCACCTCCTCGGAGAGCAGCGCGCACAGCTCGGAGGAGGTGGCGCCGCCCGCCGGGTCAGAGCGGTACGCCAGCGGCGCCGGCGCCGGCGGACGGGTGACGGCGGCACGGTCCTCGTCCGAGGCAGAGTCTGCCACGGCGGCCGGCTGGGCCGGGTGCCGGCACAGCAGACTGCACGGCCACCGGTGCGGGTTGTAGAGCAGCGAGAAGGGGCGCGCGGCGGCCGGCGCCGGCCCGCTCGGACACACCAGCACCGGGGGCCGCTCCGGGGGACGGAGTCGTGGCCTCAGCCGGCCCGCCAGCAGACCCGTCCGGCTGAAGGCGCCCTCGCTCATCGCTCGTAGCTAGGCAGTGACACAGTCTCACAGAGACTGTGTTGCACAGAGACTGTGTCACACAGCTGTCGTTCGCAACGTGTTCACTAACGGCTCCGACTTGACTGGATCTCAGGCGATGTTATGCGAGTCAAATGTCGCACTTAACCTAGGCGAGTTCCCAGCAACGGAGACTCGATGATTCCAGTACAGAGATATTGGAGATGATTCCAGCACATAGAAATGGGAGATTCCAACACACAAAGACGTGAGATGTCTGTATACGGAGACGGCACTGCTATCTACTGTCGGGAGCCTTGACACACGGAGGAGAAGGCCCGCTCGGCCGACGGAGACTCCTTGGACAGCTCGAGGAGCTCCGACGGTCGGCGGCGCCCGTCACCATATCGACCAAACTCACCCTCGTCCGCCGCAGCTCCGACGGCGCAGCTCAGCGGTACCGGCTACCGGGTTCAGTTCAAACTATGCAGATCCTTGTTTCGAATGCAAAATGTGCTTGCATAGTAACTTTATTCCAAGGCTCTATATTATACGATATACTATGCTATATACCGAGCAGTGTACCGAGTTAGGTATGCATATACCGATAAATCGGTAGGATTATGAAAGATGCATTACGTTGCTACAGCTGTTGGTCGTGCAGTGGCGGATCCAAGGGGGGGGGGGGTCACATGGGTCATGGCCCCCCCCTTGAGGCCCGGGGGCCCAAAGACCTGTCAGGGGCACCACCGGCCTATCAGGGGTATCACAGTCCTGACAGGGGCACCACAGGACCGCCAGGGGCACCACAGGACCGCCAGGGGCACCACAGGCCTAGCAGGGACACCACGGGCCTGGTGCCCCTGGGCCCTGACAGGACTGTAACGCCCCTGACAAGCCTGAAGTGTCTCCGGCAGGCACGTGGTGCCCCTGACAGGCCTGAGGCGCCCCTGCAAGGCCTGTGGTGTCCATAGCAGGCCTGTGGTGGTGCCCTTGCTAGGCCTCTGTTGCCCCTGACAGGCTTGTAATGCCCCTGGAAGGACTGTGGTGCCCCTGGCAGGCCTCTGGTGCCCCTGACAGGCTTGCGGTGCCCTTGGAAGGACTGTGGTGTCCCTGGGCCCTGACAAGCCTGAGGTGCCCCTGACAGGCCCGTGGTGCCCTTGTTAGGCCTGTGGTGCCCCTGGCAGGCCTCTGGTGTCCCTGGCAGGTCTGTGGTGCCCCTGGCAGGTCTGTGGCGCCCCTGGCAGACCTGTGTTGACTGATGCCCCTGCTAGGTCGCTGGTGCCCCTCACAGACCTGTGGTGCCCCTGGGCCTTGACAAGCCTGAGATGCCTGGCTATGACAGGCTCGTGGTGCCCCTGATAGACCAGTGGTGCCCTTGCTAGGCCTGTAGTGCCCCCAGCAGGCCTCTGGTGCCCCTGCTACCCCTGCGCCCGGAGAGGACTATGGTGCCCCTGAAAAGCCTGAAGTGCCTCTCGACAGGCCCGTGGTGCCCCTGACAGGCCCAAGTTACACCTGCGAGGTCGGTGGTGCTCCTGACAGGCCTCTGGTGCCCCTGGCAGGTCTGTGGTGCCCCTGGCAGGCCTGTGTTGACTGGTGCCCCTGCTAGGCCGCTGGTGCCCCTCACAGGCCTGCGGTGCCCCTGGAAGGACTGTGGTGCCCGTGCCCCTAGGGGTGCTCATGGGCCCAACAGGCCCGTTGTGCCCCTGACAGGCCTGTCGTGTATATGTTGCAGGCACTTTAGAAAATCAGTCATTTTGTAAAATGCCTAGGCATTTTGCAAAATGCCTGATTTTCCAGGCTTTTTGCAAAAAGCCTAGGCATTTTACAAAATGACTGACTCTCCAGTCATTTTGCAAAATGCCTAGGCATTTTACAAAATACCTAGCCATTTTACAAAATGACTGAGCAGCGTGTTGTAGATACGAGTACCTAATTATATACGTTTTGGTAGCATGTAGGTGGACCGAGGAGTCCAGCATTATGATCAGAGGAGTCCAGCAGTGGGAAGTCCATACCTACCTCTCTCTATTTTGAGAAGTGCAGGCCCGCGACATTTCCAACCCCCACGTCAGCGACGCTGCTGGATTTAAAATGATCGATCTGGAGCGTCAACAAACGACTGGCCCTATTGCCGGCCTGTATCTGTAAAACCATTAGAGGTCGCGAGGATTCGATCCCACACACTTAGGCGTTAAGGCGGCCGCACACTGGGCCATTCGGCGGGCGAGATTCCGCAAAAGCGGAATGTCGCGGGCGACATTCCTACAGCGGCTTTCCGCTTGTTTTCAGCAGTTTACAGGACCATTCGGCGGTGCGATTTTCTACTTAGTATTTTCAGGAACTTTATGTGAAACATTTTATGATAAATATAAACGAATGCAAACTAAATACATTTAAGCAAATACAATATTTGCTTATCCAGAATTGGAGGATCAAAAGCATGCGATAGCATGCTTTTGCATCCGGAAATTCCCATTGGTGGGTCGCTGAAAAAAAGTTCGGCTGAACCTGTTTGTCAGTGAGTGAGTATGTATGTGAGTTTGTCCAAGCTTTTATTGACCTGGAGTCAAAATGGATGGACCGATCGGGACGAAAGTGGGACCGTTTAATTCGTCTCCGGCGAGGTAAACTTTTGGTGCTGGCCTCGGTTCGCTCGGTGCTTCGTGGCACATGCTATTCTGCTTCAAAGTTTCGGTGACACGAAATTTTTTGTCAAGGCTACAGGTCAACCCGAGGTCACGGGCAAAGCCATACTGGCGGGACACATCGGTAACACCTTGAACCAGTTTCCAGGGGGGTCACCGTCTGCGAGGGGTGCAGGCTGCACGTGCTGGGGTCGGAAACCCGTTTTGACGTGAGGTCCTCTGGCTCAAAGAAATTTTAAGCTATCAACCTCAAAATCGGTTCAATGGTAGTCCCAGGCAAGGCCTCCAAAATAATGCACATTTGGTTGAGCTAAACTCTGTGGTGCATGAGCTATGCACGTGCAAGCCGATTGCACCCCTTCGTACGTTGCCACGCCTGCAGGGTAAACGGCAGCTCTAACTGGTTCAAAACTTGCAGGTCATAAGAAGAATACATTTATCACGACATTCCGGCGAGATAATATCCGAGGGGTGCAAGCTGCGCGTGCGGGGGGCGGATAACGGTTTTGACGATGGATCCTCTGATCCCGGGAAACGTCGAGCTAGCGACACAAAAGTCGGTACACTGATAGAACTACATAGACACACGCTACAGGATGTTATGAAAATGCCTGCACTGTGGTGCCTGGGACATGAACTATGCACGTGCAGTTAATTCATATCTTACTGTAGGTAGATCTCCACACGAATCTCACGTGCTTTCAAGCATTTCATGGATGTTTCAGTTGGTTTTGCAGTCCATACTCAGTTCCATTCCTCCAATTCTGGCCCAAGGCAACGCACGAGCGCTGCCGGCATCTAGTTTAATGCGATTATGCTATATTTCTGTACAATAAAGTTTTGAATATCTATTAATTTGACATAATTTCTGGAGGAAGTTGCAAAAAATAAAGCTCGTGATTAATGTAAACAACCGTGTTTGTCGACAAATGCAAGTAACCTAAAGACAATTGTGGAGAGGCACATAGTAACCCATTATTGGAATAGCCAATGAAGTGTATAAAAACCATTTAATATGGGGAAAGAAGTGCCGCTACGATTTTTTATCAAGTGAAGTCTATTTCTCGGCTGCTCCATCAATGGTTGGTGAGTTTCAAGTTCCACAATTTCGGGTGTCCGCGGCGTCGCCGCGGAAAAAGCTGAACCGGTCCAGCTTTTTCCGCAACTCCGCGGCTGTTCGCGCGCATGCGCACTCTACTCGCGGACAGCTAGCTGGCAGTGGTCGGCTGATAATTTTGTCGTTTCGGCAGCTGATTCGGCGTCCACGAAAGCGTAATGTCGCCACGGAATTGCGTTTTTGCGGAATGTCGCCCGCCGAATGGCCTAGTGTGCGGCCGCCTTTAGTGTCTTCTGAAACCAACGCTGTCGTCCTACGCCAAGCGACCTGATGATTCTCCCGATGTGGAGCTTGATATTTTTAACTGGGACCATGCAAGTAGGTAGTCAAAGCTGTCAAACAAAGACACAATCAAACAAAGACTACAGTCATTCGTTTACATGTAATTGTACATCAACCGGGCCTGCCTATTGACTAGGGCCGGTCTCCGGCTGGTTTTGTTAGGTCTAGTTTTAGGCAGAACATGAACGGCGTTGATGTGTACTTGGGAGTTTTTACAGCGTTAACTAAACAATGCTTTATGCTACAGCCGAGTCTGCAACTCAAGCTGGTCGTTACTCAGCATTGTCGTCATCACAGAGCTTCAAATCGATCAGCTACAGGCTGAACACGTACCTATTATAGGGTATAGGAAGACGTCCAAAAACTGTTGGCCATAGTATCTGTAGTGGGATCTACGTTCCATGCTGGTCAGGCATTTTGCAAAATGCCTAGTCATTTTGTAAAATGGCTAGCCATTTTGAAAAAAGCCTGGTTGCGTTCAGTCATTTTTCAAACAGCCGTCTTTTTGTAAAATGCCTAGGCATTTTACAAAATGACTGATTTTCTAAAGTGCCTGCAACATATACTTGCTAGACCTGTGTTGCCCCTGCTTCCTGGCAGGCCTGTGGTGCCCCTGGCGGGCCTGTGGCGCCCATACAAGGCCGTAGGTGCCCCTGACAGGTTTGTGGTGTCCCTGGAAGGACTTTGGTGCCCCTGACAAGCCTGAAGTGTCAAGGACAGACCCTTTAGACGCCAGGGTCAAGTTCGTCGGACTGACAACGATTCGCTTACCTGATAACGTTCTTGGTAAGTACTCACTACTCAGCGTCCACAACATATATACACATAGCACATTCATATATATTTGCTTACAATTGGTAAATGTAGTTGTGGGTAAGAATTAAGATACTGACTAAAAATAAAAAATGAAAAGAAAAAAAAAACTGAAAATGGGGGCACCACCAAAATGAAGTGGACGAAATCCGTTGAGTTTTTAATTTTGGGTATAGGTAGGGGCACCACTTCGATTCATGACCCTCCCCTTGGAGTTTTCCTGGATCCGCCCCTGTGGTCGTGTGCCCGTCCACTCCCTATCCGTGGTGCTGTTATTTTTAAATTCTTTAACCCGCGCCGGGCCGGGGGTGTTTGAACACCCCCCTCCCTGCGGTTTTTCGCAGATGTCTCAAAAGCAGCGCCGCGGATCGCGCCGTTTTTGGCACACCTGTTCGTGCATCTTTTCCGCACATGTTGTGAAAATTTCAGACCCAGGTCGCCTTAGGTCAGGTCACCAGGTCACGACAAGTGACCTCACCTCCGAATACGCCGACGACGTCAAAATTTTTCGACAAATTGTCTCGCCATCTGACGGACTACTGCTCCAGCAGGACCTTGGTCGTCTGGCGGCCTGGTCCGTCAGATGGGGACTCACCCTAAACCCCAGCAAATGCAAATCGTTCACGATCACCCTCAGGCGCGCACCCGTCCGGACAGAGTATTTTATCAACGCCACTAAACTCGAGCATGTTGGAGAGATACGTGTCCTGGGTATCATTTTAGACACCAAGCTTACATTTGCTGCTCATGTGAACAGCATTGTTAGCAGAGCAAACCGAAGCCTGGGCCTGTTGTTTCGATCCTTTCAAACAGGTGAGAAGGGAAGCAAATTTCATCGCAAGGCACTTTTGTGTGCTTACTTCTCCAGTGTACGCTCGATTTTAGAATATGGCAGTGTGATATGGGCGGGTGCGGCTGACACCCACACAGTGCGGGTCGACCGAGTGCAACACAAATTTCTAATATGGCTTTTATCAAACACGCACTCCGGACATTCCATTTCTCTGGATTACAGTGCTTTACTAAATCACTTCCGGATACAGTCATTGGCTTCACGTCGAATTCAGCATGATCTGATTTTCATCAGAAACGTGTTTCATGGGAGACACGACTGCTGCCACATATTAAACAGCTTTGCACTGCACATACCCACTCGGTCGACCCGCACACAGAAACTGTTTTATGAGCCCCGTGCACGTGTCAACACCGTGAAGCGGGGTTTATTCAACAGGGTACCATGTCTATGTTCGTTTTTTTTTTTCAAAAGGACGCTGGCTCAAAGTTCATTATCGAACCTCTCACGTGAGTTTTGCCAACTTCAGCGTCTGGCTAAGAATTCCCTGCCGAAAAAATCATCGATTTCAAATTGTGCTCGGTAAATGCATGGAAATTGTGACTTCAAAAATGAGCATACTATGATGACGTCACTGGTGGCAGCTGGCACCCAATGTCCATACGAAAGCATTCATTACCAACGAATTTTGGGAAAACTTCGTTTTTTGCTCTTACCGAGACCCGAATCGAGTAAGCGGTTCTTTCCATGATAGTTATGCATTGCATTGCAGTGCAAGTTCCACAGCATGACGTCACCACTGTTCTCATGTCTAGTTCCAAAACGCAGGCATGGAATTTATCGGGAATAATTCACATGTTAAAATAAGGCGACGTTCGAGTTTCTCAGGTTCAGTTTTTGCTCGTTTTGCTCGCAAAAACACGTGCTTGTTCGAAAAACATACTTGGAGCCAGCGTCCTTTTGAAAAAAAAAAACGAACTATAGTCAATTCGTTTTTATGCAGTGTTCCAGGGACAGATTTTTTACCGATGCCACTGGGACTTTTAAATCGCATGTTTTGAAGTATATATCATCTTTTTAAAGTCTTTTTACAAGCTCGTTTTTTTTTTAGATTCATCTTAACCCACATATTTTTTGTGCATTATATTTTTAGCTATATTTATCGTAATATTTACCTACTGTTTACTCTGCATTGTTTGCCCGTATGTCATTGTTTATCATGTATAGTGTTAGTTTGACTTCGCCTGTCAGTGGGGGTCCGCCCTGTTGGTGATCACTTGAATAAATAAATAAAATAAATAAATAAAAAAGTGCTGTGGTTTCGGTTACATGGTAAAGCTCAAAGCATTCATAGAGGAGAAAACCGGTGAGGCTGTAACGGAGATAAAAGAGCTCTTGTTGAAAGGATAAAGGCAATAGAGTAATCTTTGAGCTTTGCATTGGAAACGATTACGGTAACGGCACAACAGGCGAACTCGCTAGAAAAGGCATATAGGATACTTGGTATCACACTTTTCACGTCTAGGGTTTGTCCACCCTGGTGCTTTCACTAGTCGAGATCCGAAAATGCGTTATAGTATTTTAATTGTGTATTGTCCGATCGATACATAATACATACGCATAGCAGAAGCCTCTTGCACCAAAATACCTGGTTGGGTGGAATCGACAACATACATACATAGTACATGCCTACCAAGTAAACTTAAAAATTTCGCTCGATTGACTTTCTACATTGATTGTAGAAAGTCATTTCTACATACTCGATTGTAGTCGTTTTCATGGTGGTTTTCGAGTAGTTTTTTTTTTTTAGTTTGGAGTAATAGATAAAATTGCAATCTACCTAGGCATGTATTTTGGTCCAAAAGGCCTCAGATAAGCAGAAGATACAAGATATTTTCTTTCTATTGGTATATAATTGGTTAGCCACTTCTTCCTATAGGTAATAGCGTATTTTCACTACAGGAAGCTTGATCTAGATTAGACAACTACAATTAGGTACATCAGTGTCGCACAAGTGCAGTATGGAAAAAGATCATTGCAATACAACATTGTCAACAAAAACGATAGTTTTGACGGTTTTGCCCCTGAAGACCAAACCGTTGATCTCGGGTCAAATCTAACCCTTTTGCGAAACAGTTTCGAAGAGCTTTCGAATGGACTTATCTGCGATTTTTTTCTTCAAAATATGTATCATTTGTCATACTAAAAGTCGAAATAGCGTTCCCCTCAGTCAATGGCGTTCAACTTGATGCTCTAACAAGCGAGAGTTTAAGGCATTTAGAAAGGCACCGTGCTGCATAGCATTCTAGCTATGAGCCCTTTTGCGTGCAGGGCGCTAGGCACCTGCTTCGCTGCGCGGCTTTTACACGCTGATTTTTTTATGCTAGCAACTTTATTTCGCTCTGTGGTAAACAAGACGCAGTCACGCACTCACTTTGCCCCAGTGCTGCGCGCACGAGTCTGTCGCGCGCCCGCGCTCGAGCCGGTTAATCCAACAGTGGCAATCGCGACGGAACGACACAATTCACAGCGGTGTGTGGCGGCGGCCCGCGCCTCTCGACGGCCCAGGGGTGGGGGCCGTCTGGCGGCCACTTTTACACGCTGATGGCGTTAGGCACCACTGAGGGGCTCTGCCACTTGTACGGGAACTGGGCGGTGGCGTTGCGCCGGTCGATTTGGCGCGCCAGCTCGCGGAGTTCGCCGCGCAGCCGGTCGGCGGCGGCCGAGCCCACCGGGTCGTAGATGTAGCGCACCTCGAAGTCGCCCAGCGCGCGGGTGCCGCGGAAGCTAAGCAGCTTCGTGATGACCATGATCTCGCGCGTGGCGAAGCGGCCTGGCAGATAGTTGAGGAGGTCTCTGTCGCTGGGCACGGCGTCCTTGCTGCTCGGAACGGGACCGTACAGCACAGGCGGGTAGTTGGGCACGAAGCCGTACTCATCGAACTGGCCAAAGTTGGCAGCGGCGTGGCCCTGGCTGCATATGGAGACCAGCGCGGTGACCACTTCCACCACCTGGTCGACGCTGGTGAACCCTGGCGGGAAGAGAGGGCTCTGCCGGTCACCGGCACACAGTGAGCCCACCCCGCTCGTCTTACCACCAGCCGGGGACAGTGAGCCCACCCCGCGCGTCTTACCACCAGTCGGGGACAGTGAGCCCACCCCGCTCGTCTCACCACCAGCCGGGGACAGTGAGCCCACCCCGCTCGTCTTACCACCAGTCGGGGACAGTGAGATTACCCTGCTCGTCTTACCACCAGCCGGGGACAGTGAGCCCACCCCGCTCGTCTCACCACCAGCCGGGGACAGTGAGATTACCTTGCTCGCTGTCGCCGGCGACTCCACACATGCCCACGCCGCCGTGCTGGCGCGCCATCGTCAGCTCTTTGCGCCACTGCTGCAGCTCGTGGTCAGCCTGCAGGCTTCCGGGCTGGCTGTAGGCAGCCTCCAGCACAGCCCGCACGTAGCGCTCGATGATAGAGTAGAGAGCGCAGGCGTCGTCCCGATACGGATAGTAGGGCAGCACCGAGGGGTCGGCCACGCCTCTGGCCGCTACCTGACGCGGTATGACGCCGTCCCTGTCCAGCCTCCAGTCCTGCAGACTGGACGACACCCGTCAGCCGTCAGCAGCTGCCCGCCCATCCAACCCCGTGTCTCACTCACATCAGTGGCTAAGATATCCATGCGGTAGCTACACGTGTGACGAGAGCGTACCATCAAGCATCGAGAAACGTTATCGGCGCTATGATCATTACAAAACAGATCACCTAGAGGGTGATTTTATCCATGTGCACATCTACACACCATCTGAGGGCGCTCGCTCTGCAAAGCCTGCCATTCGGACCCTGCCTCGTTTGCCATCGAGCCTGCCCGCGGCAGCGACTCACCCTCGTTTGACGATCTCCTGCAGGCCAGAAGCGCGCACCGTCATCACGCGATCTACCCACTTTCCAGGAGCGATCAGGTCCTGCAGCGCCACCACGTTGATGGAAATGAGGAACAAAAAGTGTGGCGCCATCAGCCTGAAGAGTGGGTGCGACACGGAGAGGTGGCGGTGCGAGCAGATGACCACGCCCTCCATCATCAAGTGCGTGAAGCCCAGGTGCGTCAGCGACTCGTGGTGCTGCACCTCGGCGTTATTGAAGAACATCTTGGCCAGCAGCCACAAGTTCGGCGGGTCGCTCGGCAGGAACACCTGCCGGTTGGAGGTTTGGTGGGTCGTTCGCGGTGTATATTTTATAGTAGGCGAAAAATTGCATGTATGTATATTGTAGCTCGTTGTTGTCGTAGGTCAGTCGACTGTGTAGCTGAACCGCTCTGTTTGGGCCGCGCTGCATCGCGATCAGCGAGAAGATATCCCGAGGGATATTTCTGAGAGGGGTCTCAATAAGGTCTGGCAGTCGATCAGGACGGCTGTAGGTATCCTTTTTTTACTGGCATCATTTTTTAGTACTTACATGAAATTCTCTAGAACGAGCGTAATTATAACCCTAGATTTGCATCATGTCGAGTTACTTACCAGTCTTCTACCATGTTGATGGTTAGCAAAAGTTGTTTTATGCCTAAATTTACGCAATTATTTGTGCTTATTCATAGTGTGGGGCCCCGCGCGGCTACTTTAGTAGCAGCGAGTCAATTTTGAATCGGTTTCACAAACTGCACAATTAGAACAAAGATATCACAGTTTTGTAGCATAAGCGTGCCTGAGCCCCTGACACAATATGTATATGACTAATTCGTTGGTGATGTTTTGAAGCGTGCCAGATCGGTGTGGTCAGGTGTGGGCTCCTGACAGGTGGCCTCACCAGGTTGTCGCCGCCTTTATGCTGGAACAGCTGGATAGCCACCGGCAGCAGCTCGCTGTTCTTGTTCAGGTAAAAGAGCCCCATCGGCGCGCACAGCTGAAACATCGACACACAACCGCTTCAATGTCCCCTGGTAAAAGCAGCGGGGTACTTCGGATCACCACGCAGTGCATTTAGGTGGAGACAACAGCTTGGATGTGGTTGTATGCGTTGAAGCTGTTGTTTGCACTCACTTATTTGGTTATGCATAGACAATAAACATGCATGCTATATTTTTGCATCTAATAAATTGCTTTGCAGGACACCGAATAGCAAACCACATGACAAAACCGTGCACTATGGCGCAATTGACATACGTCTGCTGCATTTGAACGCACTATGTTCTAAGCTGATTGCTCTGTTTTGGAAACAAGTGCACTATTACTGAATGACATGCACTCGGCCGATTTAACAGTACACTAAGCTGAATTGTCGAAATCGGTAGCGCTATTACTGAACTGTGTGCACTATTTCTATATTTGGCCATAAAAAGTGTAGTGCGCATTATTCGTTGGGCGCTTTCAAGTTCGGCGTAATATTTTTCGGCTTTATTCAATCGAATTAGTGTTGAAAGGCGATAACAAACATTATGTAACACTCCTGATCTTTTTGAGCCAGGAACGAAGTTATGCAGCCGATTCAGAAGCCCCGAATGCCACGTGACCGCCACGTGACCGTGTCAACGAGTTCTTAGAGCGAGACTAAAGATAAGTTAATTCCTGAGGGGTGAAGTTACATTTGAGCAGCTCTGTGACAAAGTTTCACGGTACTCTTGACACACAGATAGGGGACTTTCAAAAATATTTTCCCAATCTAACAGCGAATTCACTTGAACATCGCCTAAATTGCTTTGCGGGACGTCGAATAGCACACCACATGACAAAACCGTGCACTATGGCGAAATTTACCTACAATCCACTGAAATTCAACACACTATCTTCTAAATTGATTGCACTGTTTTGGAAACGTGTGCACTATTACTGGTTTGTAAAGTCTCTTTTATCGAAAGAAAGGCGGTCTTGGATGCTGCGGGGGTACCTATACCCTACAAAAAATTCACTTAATTCCAAAAACTCATTGGATTTTGATTTATTGCGCACTGCTGTGCAGCTTATAACAAACTTTTCCTTATAAAAGTTTGGTTTTTGTTTTATCTAAAAAAAAAACTCAAATTCATGTCGACTTCGGGCGCTGTGGGGGGGGGGGGGGCATTTGCCTCAAATGCACCCCTCCCCCCCCCACCTGGGCTCAATCTTATAAACGCCGTGGAATGGATATGGCAGCACTGGCTGAAGTTCAGCTGCAGAAAACGACTATCAAATGTGTAACGCAGATGCGTTACATTTTTTTCATAGATGAAAGATCTTTCATGCTGAACTGCAAGCTGTGCCACAAGCTGAAACACGGCCATCTGCGAGCGCCGCACAGACACGGTCAGCCGGCTAAATCGGCTGTGATACCCTCTCTCCGTCCCAGCTGGCGTCCACACAGACGGCGCAGTAGGCTCTGACAAACAGGGGTCCTCTATAGATGACCACCCCACTTCATGAGAACCCGGATCTGAAGCCAACAAATAGCATACCGAAACGCGCCATTCTGCCAGCCTCGAGCCATTAATCAGTTTAGCCTTTGGAAAACAAGACTCTGTCCCACGCTCGGCACCCCGCCAGAGAACAAGGAGAGGGGAGTGCAGACCGGCCCTGATTTGAACCAAAACAAGAAAGGGGAGCGGAGACCGACCCGGGTTGTACGAAAACAGGATGAAATGGAACTCGGTCGCCAACGACAAAATATAGGACATCTGGCCGGACCTGACTTCAAAACAAGGGGAGCAGAGGGCCAGGCCCGCCACCTGGCGCCTCAGGCGCCGTGAGCGCCGGCGGCGAATTCCACCCGGTCGCTGCGTGAAAGGGTGCGACTGCCATGGCCGGAGGGGAACCGAACTTTGTCAGCAAATCACGAACTTTCGAGGGCGGAGCCGAGTGCAGCTTCTGAGAATGGAGGACGGAGATTGGACAAGGTGATGCTGCCCGGCCCTCTGAAGTATGACGTCATCAGAAGTATAAGTTGATGAAACGGAACTGAAAAGCTCTCGGACGACGCATTCCGCGCTCTCTGGCTCTCTCTCGGACGACGGATCCCACGCCGCTCTTCGCTCTCGGCTCACATCTGACACCGTGGACAGCCCACGAGAGACCAGCGGCAGGCATCACGGCGCCGGCGGCGGCTCCGGCCGCCTGGCCGGGCGCTGGACGGTCACGACCATCATGTCAGCGACTCCATCTCAAGTAAGGTCACGCGGTGAACACGGGTGCGCACCTAGTCCCTAAATCCTCCAAGTAACCCCCCCCCCCCCTTTCGTTACTGCTATGTGAGCCACATTATATTCCCCTTTTAGGTGTCGTCCGCAATATTTTAGGCCATTCAGCTTAGGTATTTAAATTTATTCTTGGGACTTTCAGTCTAGGTAGCTTAATTTCACAATTCGATTTCGATCAATTATGTAACTGTGCGCGTAGTGCGACACGCGTGCCGACGTGGGCCCTCTTCAGTCGTCTGGCGCCCCGTTGTGATTTAAGCGGACGGAGGGGATTATGCACCGTGGGGAGTCGGGAAAGGGACGGGCGACTGTGTACCGCACCGCGCGGCTTGTGGGGCTCAGTTGATGGGCGGCCTGGGCCCAGAATGTTTCCTTTAAATTTGACTTGTAAGGGAATTTAAGGTGTTGCGTCGGAGTATGTAAATAAATGGGACTTGTAAATATTGAAATACGAGTGTGAGTAGTGCTGAAGGGGCAGGGATCGGAGGATGGAGCATAAAAGGCCATATGCTAACCCACAGTCAGGAAAGAGGTCGTTTCCAAGGTGTCCGGCCAGAGTAATTTACAACGATCAGTTCTCTTTATCTGTTGAGTTTACACAGTGCACAAAGCGATTATACACAACACATGCAGGGCCTCCCTAGCCTAGCCGATACTGGAGCTTCTCCGGTTGACTCCTAAGTGCCCTTGCCAGTGGATTTCCTGGCACTCCATCCTCCCCAAATTATCCCACGGTCCAAACAATAGCGATTACACACAACACCCACAGGACCTCCCTAGCCTAGCCGATACTGGAGCTTCTCCGGTTGACTCCTAAGTGCCCTTGCCAGTGGATTTCCTGGCACTCCATCCTCCCCAAATTATCCCACGGTCCAACAATAGCGATTATACACAACACACACAGGACCTCCCTAGCCTAGCCGATACTGGAGCTTCTCCGGTTGACTCCTAAGTGCCCTTGCCAGTGGATTTCCTGGCACTCCATCCTCCCCAAATTATCCCACGGTCCAAACAATAGCGATTACACACAATACACACAGGACCTCCCTAGCCTAACCGATACTGGAGCTTCTCCGGTTGACTCCTAAGTGCCCTTGCCAGTGGATTTCCTGGCACTCCATCCTCCCCAAATTATCCCACGGTCCAAACAATAGCGATTACACACAACACATACAGGACCTCCCTAGCCTAACCGATACTGGAGCTTCTCCGGTTGACTCCTAAGTGCCCTTGCCAGTGGATTTCCTGGCACTCCATCCTCCCCAAATTATCCCACGGTCCAAATGATAGCGATTATACACAACACATACGGGACCTCCCTACCCCTAGCCCAACCGATACTGGAGCTTCTCCGGTTGACTCCCAAGTGCCCTCGCCAGCGGATTTCCTGGCGCTCTACCCTATCCAGCGGTCCGAATATAAGGAGCACACATAGACCTTGCCGCACACGAAATATTTGTAACTTTACCCCACATGGACACTGGGGACACTGCAAGGGACGGAACCGGGGAGATAGATGATGCACGTCACGCCCCTGTGCGTGGAAAGTCCACCGACGCGGCCATGGGTTAGGAGGGAGATAAGAAGCGAGTGAAATGGAATTGAAGACTGTACACGTAGAGGAATCGGATTTCCTGAATGAAGCTCAGCTCGGGTAGACCCCACTTAAATAGTAGGCCTCGCTTGGGTAAGCCCTGGATACGTGCAATAAGTCGCGAAGTGAAGAGAAAGGGTGAGAGCGAGTTGAGGATCGATTATTGAGGATGAGTGCATAGCCGACAAAGGCTAATCCGTTCGGTTGCCGGCGCGGGCCCCATAAAGCCGTGGCTATACGGAGACGATGCAGGCAGCCCGGAGGGACCTAGTGACCCCGCCCGGTTTTAAAAGATAGGTTAGGTCCGCTATCGGTCCATTGAGTGATCAGCGCAGGATGACATTCGATAAGTGACGTAGGTAGTTTCGGAGATGGTTAGGACCCCAGGCGTCCCAGCGAGGAGACGTATGCCGCCGGTTAAGTAATGTCCCGCGAAGAAACGTGTGATGCTGCAGGACGGGGGTGAACATTAAATACCAAAGCATGCGAGTCGGGTGATCGCGGTAAGTCGGTACTGGCCACCCCGCTGTCAGTCGATTTACTCCGGCCGTGCAGCGGTCATTTCGGTTAGGTCTGTGACGACAGCTTAACTACCAGCAACGGATAGATAGGGCTTCGGGCACCTATAACGCTGGTAGTCGTGGATTGTGTGAAGCCAACGGAGGCTTACCCGTTCGGTCGCCGGTGCTGTTCCAAAAGCCGTGGCTATACGGAGACGATGCAGGCAGCCCGGACGGACCTAGTTACCCAGCCCGGTTTCAAATTTTAGATAAGCCCATTGCGGGCCGTGGTACGCTTAGTTTTCGTTTTATTATAGGCAATTTGGCATAAACTGGTAGTCATGGATTCGTGTAAAGCCGACGAACGACTAACCCCTTTCGGTCGCCGGGGGCTGGCCCGAAAACCGCGGCTATACGGAGACGACGCAGGCAGCCCGGACGGACCTTAGTTACCCAGCCCCGGTCTCAAATTTCAAATAAGTCCCCCGCGGAAACCGGACTACACAGTGCCCTGTGAGCCGTAGTCTCGGAACCGCTGGCCGAAGACATTTATGTTTTTTTTTTGTGTAGGTAGTTCGACATGGTGATGGGACGGACCGCAATAAGTCACGTAACGCGAAGGTCGAGTGCCGAAATATGTGGTGGGTCGTATCTCTAATTGTGTAGCGTGAGCATTATGAAGCGTTTGTCTGATGTACGGAACATTGTGGTTATGAAGGGATAACGGTTAAATGACATTTAAGGCCAATGACTCGATAACGACTTTGCGCGCGCCCTAGCACCACCGGGGGAAGTTATAGGAAAAAGGGGAGGGACCGGAGATGGTCAACTCTGGTAAATTACGAGGTATAAGTGGACGAATGACATGGTTGTAAGGGGATGGATAAATGGACGAATGATTGATGCATATATCTGGTGGGAGATGACCCTCAAGCTAGGAAGGGCGCTGTTGTTTGAGAGTGGGACTTTTTGTTAAATAGAGTTGATTTTCTATACCAATATGATCGAGGGTAATTGATTAACATTTATCATTATCTCCCATTCCCTAACCCTGGCCTATGTGTTTCCGATGATTGATCGCCCCGAGGTAGAGTCTGAGTCGGAACGAGTTCGCGATGGGCTGGCATACAGAGAAGGGCTTCCATGGAGCGCGCCGACGGAGCTCTCATCTCACTACCGAAAGATACTGCCCGGTTAGCCCCGCGACGCCGCGAAACCCCGCTACAAATGCAAAATGGTTTTCACGCATTTCAGTTCATCGCGTAATTTGACGGTCTAAAGAATCATTTCGTTGACTCAGATTAATCTTTGTCAGCACTGGTATCACTGTGAATCTTACCAACTGCCGTAAATATAATAGTACGGCATATTATAAGATTGGACCCTGGATCCGCCAATGTACATATTTCTCACGAACGAAAACAAACCAATTCATTTTGATGTTCATGTAGCGTTCTGTTTTGCTGGGTGCTGACATCTACTTAGATACAGCTACACGATTACCAACTTGCATATAGTTTTCGGTTTTACCTATCATTTATTAACACACCTATCAGCAGCACAGTGTCTTGGGGTCATATATAACCAGTACCATCGGATTCGGCGTGAAAAATAAGCCATAAAACATGTGTCGCACGCCCATGTAGCAGAAAGTGAAAACCGTGACCTTTCATGACCTGACCTTACCTTGACCCGTACTTAGTATGACCCCTGTACGCACATGGTACACTCGGGGGCAGATTGATGTTCCACCACTCCCTACCCATCGGGCTCCCATGGCTCAGCACTGGCTGCTGCCAGTGGCAGCACTGGCAGCACTGGTACGGGCAGGCAGTGCTGAGCAGTGCTGAGGGCAGGCAACACTGGCAGCAGCCAGTGCTGAGCCATGGGATTGCCCGATGGGTAGGGAGTGGTGGAACATCAATCTGCCCCCGAGTGTACCTTCACTAGGCCTTTGGCGTCATTTTGGTGAGTTTTGAGCAGCAGCTATCGATTCAGCTGTCCGTAAGCCTAATCACGCAAAACCCCAGAATTTGAACTTTGACCTGATCTTGACCCGAAAGTTGACCTCAATCTTAAAACCTTAAGAGTGCTTTGGGAAGATCTTGTAGAGACCTTTCGAACGCCGCCTCGCGGGGCTCGATACGACCATTGGTAAGTATGGAGCATAAGTGTCGGGACACACGTCCACAAAGATCCGTCGATGAGTGAGTTTCCTAGCAACTAACCTGAGTTCCTGGGGCCGGCGGTACGCCTTCTACAATACCGAGGTCGACCCAACTAACCTGAGTTCCTGGGGCCGGCGGTACGCCTTCTACAATACCGAGGTCGACCAGGAAAAGCTTCTGGCTCTGAATGGCCTCCTCGATGGTGAGTGTCTCAAGGAACGGCCGCAGCATGGTGTCGTCCACGTTTAGACTGAAACAGACCGTGTGGGATGGCGATATAAAACGCTGAGAGAGTACCGCGGGATAGTAATACCACTTTTGGGAATACCGCGGGACTGGAACCACTGTTGGGGAATACCGCTGGACTGGGACCACTGTAAGGAAATACTGCTGGACAGCTATACCACTCATGTGTTGGAAACCTAGATCTCATTTTTATGACCGACTTCTCGTCATTGTAAATTGGATTGATTTGACCTTGTTTGACCTCCAAGTGACGTCACAGGTCAAATATCAAGGTCATCAACATCCTATCTTGTGCATCTCGATGAGCTCTTCCGAATGCCGTTTGAATTTTCCCGATCCGGCTATTGGTTGCGGAGACATACGACGGGGGCCTTTTGCCCCCCCCCCTCTCCCCCCCAACAGGACGTGGAACCTACCAGACCTCAACGGCGCGCGGGTTAACTACTGGGCCGATCACGCTGAAACTTGGCATGTTGGTAGGCACCCACCGGGCAATGTATTTCCATATGTCACGGTCGGAGTGCTACTGCGCACGTGTAGGGGTTGCTTCCACATCTCAAGAACGGCTGGGCCGATTGCGCTCAACTTTGGTTTGACGTCGGTTAGTAGGGTGTCTCGCACAATTCAGTAGGAAGTGTCCTCTCCGTCTCGCCATTCCGCACGTGCAGGGCTCACTCAAGTCGCAGCAAAAGGTGTCTCGGTGGTGGGATGAGATCCCGGGTCCGTTTTTGTTTTCATCATCCACATTGCAGACCTTTGGTTAGGATCGCGGCCGTCACCCCGTCTAGTACTTACTTGTCGGGTATTTTGGTGCAGAGTTTGATCAGCACCGGATTCACTCCCTGGAGACGCTGGATGCCGAACCACTTGTCGCTCTTCCAGTGCAGCATGCCCTGTGAGCAAACAAACAAAAAAACAAAAAAAACATGGTTTTATACCAAAATTGTTGTAGGCGAGCAATGGTAAATTTGCGCATTATTGTATTTTAACTAAAAAAATACAATAAAAAGGCCACTCGAAAAAAAGAAATAAAAAGGCCACTCGAAAAGGCCCTCGCCAGGCGAGGGCCTTTTCAATAACACGGACGGCGAGAGGGGTATACAGGGTTTTTCAATAACCCTGTAAATTTGGCGAGTTGGTACGACCCCTCCCCCTCCCTCCCTGGCGATTGGCTCCTATGGCACTTAGAAACGCCAAAGTTACAGGGTAGGTGGTTCCATAGGAGATCACGCCCCCGTGAAAATTTGGTGACTAAGTAAATACTTAGGGGGGTTGTGGCCTGTGTGTGAGTGGGGGGATATAAGTGCAAACATTTCTCTAAAACATGTCAAAAGTCTTTCGCTTCTAACTTTTTACCTAGTAAAGATAGAACAAAAATAAAAGCATCAGTGAGCTCAGGACGTCCGTGCGCATCGAAAGATATACGGGGTGTTGCAGATAAATTGGAACAAATTTAAACTCCTCTAAAACTGTTATGTTTTGAGTGACTAAGACAATTTCTTGACATACTTACAGGTTAACCCGCGCCCCGCTGGGCTATTCAGCCATACGCGCCCTGCTGGGGGGGGGGGGGGGCAGATTCTGCCCCCCCTGTCTAACTTCCGAACCGATGGTCGTAGAAAGACGGGGAAAACGGCAATCGAAAGCTCTCAACAAGGCGGATCTTAAGAGCCCAAATTTTTTTGCTTAAGTAGGTCAGAGGTCAGGTCAAGGTCAGGTCAAGGGCACAAAATGCAAGTTTCTACAGTATCGGCCTTGCACCGTAGTTGCCGAAGAATGGACTGAGACTGATTGCCCAAAACGTGTTCTTAGACTACCAAGACAATATCCGTTGCACACAATGTCATTCAAAGGTCAAGGTCAAGGTCAGGTCAGGTCAGGTCAGGTCAGGTCACCAAAAACAAAATATAGAAAAGGGCATGTGCGACACATGTTTTATGGGTCATTTTACTCATGGAATTCAATAGGCACACCCAATAAGTGATATGGACCACCTCTGGATGAATTTCAGGTCGAGGTCAGGTCAAGGTCAGGTCAAGTGAGGTCAAATTTTGAAGTTGGTTGTTAAGGCCTAAAAAGGTGTCTATCCGATGCAGTTTTTCACGGCGAATCGAATGGTGCTATTTTTGTTTCCGTACGAGGTCTAGAACTTCCAAAAAAAATCATTTTTCAAAAAAATTGTGTGTCGTGACGTCATAAAATTTTGAATAACTCCCACATTTTTGAACCGATTCTTCTAAAAATTGGTATGTAGGTGCACATAGACCATGTCTTTGACATATATTCCGGTTTTTTCGATAAACTCAAAATTTTGGATTTTATAAATATTTTTTCCAAAAAAGTCAGTTTTTTGGAAAAATTTTGGCCAAAATCCAAAATTTTCAAAAAACCGAGATAGCCATTTGATAGACAAAGTAGAATCACGTATAACCTTTTTATTACGTCTTGATTCCTTGAAAAATGAAGATGTTAGCGGCGTTTGAAATTTTGCCGTTTTTGAGGCGAAAATGGCGAACATGACGTCACGAAAACGTCAATTTCTCAAAAATTTTCCGACGGATTTCGCTCAAATTTTCAGGGAACGTGTCAAATTGATGTATGATAAGGTACTGAAGGTTTGACGTCGCTGGCGTAACGTGTTTAGAAGTTATTGGCGAAAAACGGGAGGGGCAGATTCTGCCCCCCCCCCCCCAGCGGGGCGCGGGTTAATGAATACTTTTCATGTTTATGTAAGTTGCGTGGTGATTTTGAGTCGGCTGGTCACAGAACGTGGGTTCAAGCAGACCGGCTATCATTTTTTTTTACCGCGCTGACACGCATGCAAAGTTTTCTTTATGCCTCATCAAATGTCTAAAAGTAGTGTGTATCGAACAGATATAAGCCTTGGAGGAAGAAGGATATTGACTCATCATCTTGCACTGACACCGGCTGCTCCCTTGGTTTCCAAGGGGGTTTAAAGGGACCCTCCCACCTTCAAAAAGTTTATGAATTGGCATGAAAGTGATGTCGCTCGGTTCAGAAACGCGAAAACGAATATCTACCAAATTTCACCGAAAAATATTCACCGGTTTTCAAGATATTAGACTTCTACTTTTGTTTACTTTTTGGGATCTCCGCTGTTCCTAGCGACTTTATTGGAAGCAATAGTTTGGTGCAGCTTAAAGTGCGGCACTTGTTGCGCGCAAAGCAGCATATCCACCGCGTGCTACAAAACGTTTTAGGCAAACATTTAAAAATCGTTAGATATCTGCGCTGACGACACACATTCAGAGGGGTATTCCTATGCATTAGCCCCTCTGAATCAAAATGCTGCAATTTTGAAATTCAATATTTCCGATTTAAGGCATTTCTCGATGTTGTGAGTGCCGAAACCGGTAATTGTGAGCCAGGGACCCCATTTTGGCTACTCTCAATCTAATGTTAAGGTGGAGGGTCCCTTTAAAGGCAAAATTCAATGAAATCAGAAGGTCCCCGCGAAAACACTTGCGCGAGCTTACGGTGTAAGCGGCCGCGCCATGGGAAAACGATATATCAGCACCTCATACGTACTCTTATGCATTAATGCCTATTAGCCTGTTAGCCAGTTCAAGTAGCTGTGCCGTTAAAAGGATTGTTTCCTCTTGAAGGGACTGGAGAAGCGAGCAAGCGCGTGCATATATTTTCGTCGATTGTATCTCCATTACCGAATGTAGGAACAACGCGCAAACACCATGTAACATCGCAGCCGGCCCAGAAGACGTGACCTTAGCTCCAAAAAGTATGCAACAGTCATCAGTGACGGCGCCCCACGCGGACGAACCCGACCCCCACCAAACACGATTTGGCAGCACTGTAAAGACGTCTGCTGGGCGCGAAGTTTTCCCTTCACCATAGGGTTTACACACAAACTGGTCAAAGTTTGAGCCAGGATATACTAGTCTAAAAATGCAAAAAATGAACAAATTTTGGCATCAATAGATTCAGCATTTCATCGTGTGCCTCAAACCGTCCATCATTTGGCCTCAAAGGAGGTAAAATTGTTCAAAATCGAAGTTGAAAAGATGCTTTCTGAGCACATAATTGGTAGCAATCACGTGACCTGCTATAAGCAGCTTATCGATAATTTACAAACATAATTATTAATATGCTGCTTTAAACAACATTAATAATTCATTT